TGTTGTCAACATCACTTCTATCAGTCAGATTGTAAGTAGCAATTGTTTTTTTAGATGAAAAAAAACCCCTCAACACATACACTTCACGAGTTCTGTTATAGGTACACCACACTAGTAAGAAGCAGAGCCTCCATTTGCTCTTACAACAAAATCAGTTCTCCAGGCATTGATTCATGCTGACAATCTGTCATTCCACCACGTGACTACAAAGACACGCACACCATCAGCAACAGACAGGTTTTATCTTAACTTAAACCAATCTGGTCACAACATTGTTTACTGCCGTATAAACTGCAGGCTGACTAGTGCCTCATCTTAATCTTTCTTCAATCTACAGATCCTCCCGTGACTTCAACACTGTGTCGAGTTGCAATATGAGCTCAGGCTTATCTGTTCTTGCTGTAGCTGATAATGCTTCGTATTAAGATCATTTTATTTTGAAGATTTATTTTTTTTCCTGTTTCTACTCCGTGGTTAAAAGGTACAGAGTTTAATTGATTCCATGCATGAGGAGATCAATCTAAAAAGTTCAATCCCTGCTGTGTGCAGTTTTGTGAGTCAGAATGGCCCCTTGACAAGCGCAGTGGGTTGGTCGGAACTTCCAGCTTCTACAGGTCCTACCTGTTATGGATGTCGTCAGCCCATTAAATGACCATCATCACTGCGGATCACTCCTACTCAAATAGGTCTACAGAGACCTAATCCACTTTCTAGTAGGCGAAGGAAGGCTACATGCACTTAGCCTCACAATGGCAAGAGGTCAGCAATATAATCAGGGTTATTTTCTGCTTATTGATGATCGGAATGGATGACACCAGCCTACTGAGCTACTAGATGGTGGCAGAGGTCGCTACAGGCCCATTTGTATGGGAATGATCTGCAATGATGACAGCTATTTAATGGACTAATAACATCTAAATGTGGTGAAGACAGTTAGCCTTTGACAGGTGTTTAGGGTTTGCCATTAAATAACTGTCAATGCATTGTCAGGTTTCCATTCACTGTCCCTGTCAGAGAGGAATGAGTCTCGGGTCGTGCTGGTCTGGTGGTGAGCGCTGCAATCTTATGTTGGAAGATTCTGAAAATGTGCTAGGACTGCAGATCACAAAATATATTCTATGCAAGCTGTTGCTCACCTGCTGTCAAATGCTGAGCCATGGGTTAATGTGCCACAGTGTGTTCACCTTTAGACACATAAAAATCAATCGCATTTCTAATATCGTGTGTCTCTCACTCAGTCTAAAATTACCATCAGAGACATTTGTCTCTCACTTCTATTACCAGCAAGTGCAATAAAAATCTGCTTAAAGTGTTTCTGCAGAAATTTCAGCGAGTTAGTCCTTATTGGAAATGAAAAAGAAGATAATTGCTAATTTGTTAAGATTAATTCAAGCTCTTCCTTTCTGTAATAAAACCCACAAATATGCTGGTAGCACCACAGGTAATTAGGGCAGATTTTCCTTTTACTGCCCCGTCTCTATTCCACCTCATCTCGCCGTCACCCAGAGCTGAGGAGCAGGGATGGTTGCTGTTTCCTTGCATTCTGTTAGCATCAATCAGAGGTGGTTATTTGTCCTGTCACAGTAACTTAATATGATAAATGATCTAATAATATGCTGAGGCATTTTGTGTCCTCCAAACGCCCTTTGATCAGTTCGACTGCATGACTATGAAGCTGTAGCTCTACTAGATGACCACAGTGTGGAGACACAGCCCACCTGTTCACTGGGAAAGTCTAGAGGCAAAGCAGCAAGAGGATGACACGTATAAATATAAACTTTAAAGATTTAAGATTATATTAATGGGCAAAGACTGATGTACTCGAGAAGTTGCTGATGCTGCCTTAAGAATGGGAAAGAGGGATGACATGCAAAATAGTTTCTTGATTC